AGAGAGAGAAAGAGAGAGAGAGAGAGAGAGAGAGAGAGAGAGAGAGAGAGCGAGCAGTGTAGGCAATGGAACCAGAAACCAGGCATCTAGAGAGGGTGGTATAAATAATGAGAATCTGCCGCACAATTGCTGTTCTCTGAAGATTTTAGGAAAGATGGTTTTAAAGAGATGTTATGGTGAGATAAGAACCAAATAAGAACCCAGAATCCCCTCCTAATACCTGGATCTGAACTGTTCGTTGTTTACTTTTAGTCTTATAAGCATGATGTGTTCCTGAGGTTGGGGCTATGTGGAGTTTCTCAACTTTCCAACCATATGAATTTAGGTTATTTTGTCTATTTAAAAATTTATATTCAGGCTGAGGTTGTTGCTCAGTGGTAGAGCGCTTGTCTCACATGCATGAGGCACTGGGTTCAATCCTCAGCACCACATAAATAAATAAAATAAAAATATTGTGCCCATCTACAACTAAAAAAAAAGGTCTAAAAAATTTATATTCAATTACTAAAGATTTCTGTAGGTCTGGATTATATCTAAAATATGACTTGGTTATTAGGTGAGGCAATTCATTAAAAAATATCTGTAAAACAAAAAAAATTTCAAAACACAAACAAAATTGCCAAAATGGCTAGATTGAATTATCATATTTTCATTTGCATAGATAATTCTAAAGTGGTCAATATTAACTTTTAAATTTTATTCAGAAAAGGTAGAAGCAAAAACTGCATGATTCATGTCAGTAAATTTTTTTCACAAAGGATATTTATTAAATGTATCTAATTGCTGGCTCTATTGCACCTGCAGAACAATTTCCAAATTAGCAATTTGTGTGGGTATGCATTCTTTGTACCATACCTAAAGTCATTGTGGAACTTGCAGAAGCAAAAGGTCTCTGAAACTCTCAATTCAAATGTAAACTGTTCTATGTATTTTTAGCATCAGTTCACAACTTATGGGGAGTGTGTGTGTGTGTGTGTGTGTGTGTGCGTGTGTGTGTTGGCTGTTGCTTTCAGAATTTACATCATAGAGTATGAAAGTCCTTAGTTGAACAATCGAGCTCTGGAAAAGAATTTGTGGAAAAGACCTAATGATGAGTCATTCCAGGTTCAGAGAAATAATATGAAGGGGAGAGCAAGCAGTGCCTGAAAACTTTGACATAGGGTATAAAAATTACTTGTGTTCATCAATGGCTTGTGGATCTCTGAAAGGTCTGGTATCGAGTTCTGGGATTTTTTTTTTTTTTTGAGTTTTTTTTTTTATTGGTTGTTCAAAACATTACAAAGCTCTTGAGATATCATATTTCAAACATTTGATTCAAGTGGGTTATGAACTCCCATTTTTACCCCGTATACAGATTGCAGAATCACATCGGTTACACATCCACGTTTTTACATATTGCCATACTAGTGACTGTTGTATTCTGCTATCTTTCCTATCCTCTACTATCCCCCCCTCCCCTCCCCTCCCATCTTCTCTCTCTACCCCATCTACTGTAATTCATTTCTCTCCCTTGATTTTTTTCCCTTTCCCCTCACATCCTCTTATATGTAATTTTGTATAACAATGAGGGTCTCCTTCCATTTCCATGCAATTTCCCTTCTCTCTCCCTTTCCCTCCCACCTCTCGTCCCTGTTTAATGTTAATCTTTTTCTCATGCTCTTCCTCCCTGCTCTGTTTTTAGTTGCTCTCCTTATATCAAAGAAGACATTTGGCATTTGTTTTTTAGGGATTGGCTAGCTTCACTTAGCATAATCTGCTCTAATGCCATCCATTTCCCTGCAAATTCCATGATTTTGTCATTTTTTAGTGCTGAGTAATACTCCATTGTGTATAAATGCCACATTTTTTAATCCATTCATCTATTGAAGGGCATCTAATTTGGTTCCACAGTCTAGCTATAGTGAATTGTGCTGCTATGAACATCGATGTAGCAGTATCCCTATAGTACGCTCTTTTTAATAGTGTTATTAAAGCAAGGTCAAGTCTTTTAGAACACTTTTCAGGGTGGAAGCATAAAGAATGGAGCAATAGTAAGTATGCTGGAGAGTTGATGTCTGTTTCATTTGGGGGCAGCATATATGAGTCATGGGGCTGAACATCAGACCCCAAAATATGTACTATGTTGCTTTACCAATTCTGAGAACAGGTATTAACTGGGTCAAATTCATCTTATATTCTACCTGCCCAAAGGAAATAAAATCCTCCTCTCTGGAAGAAAGTATCATTTTTGAGGGACTATATTCATTTTTATACCCAGTAAATATTATTCAATCAAAAATAACCAAGCATGAAGAAAAAAGAACCAAGTAGCTGAAAACCAACAGGAAAAAATCAGATAATAGAAACTGAGCCACAGGTGGCTTTGACTGCCAGATAGAGAGTACTTTAAAATAACTAAGTTAATATTTGTAAGAAAAAAGGAAAAACAATCAAAGTGAGGGGAAACCCAGAAGTCTGTAAGTCCTTTGAGAAACCTCAGTTTTTCTAAGACTCTTTCTGCGGGCCCTTTGGCTAGATGTTGAAGTGTCCTGATTTTTCTTCAAATTTGTCCTGCATCTTAAAGTTGGCAATAAGCCAAATGTTCCAGATAAGCATATGTACTTATTTTGTCAAGTGAACAGTCAATGTCTTCAAATTTAGTCCATTTCTTAGGTCACACCAGTCTTAGGGTAAAAATAGGATTACTAAGGAAACCACAAAGCAGTTCATCTGTCCCTACCCTTATTAGGTGAAATACAGTTGCCTTTTCTTCCCATGCTGATATTCCTTAAGTGTTTTATTCTTAATTCTAGCACTTTTCATGTTGTTTCTTGTAAGAATCCATTTTCCCCAGTATCTTCTGAGCTCTGAGAACTTTTTTTACATAGTAGCTACCTGAAGTATATCTAGCTTACTATACTGCAAGGATTGGAGAATTGACATATGAATATCTTTCTAGAGATAGGATTAAAATATTAATGAACTAATTGTATTGTTGGATATTTATCCCAGATAAATAGAAGTTTAAGTTCACAAAAATGTGTAATCTGCACATGAAAGTCTATAGAAACTTTACTGGTAGTAGCCAATAAACAGCCCAAATAACCTATGTGATAAACAAATAAATGCCTATGCTGTGACATATTAGTCAGCAACAAACAAGAATACACTGTTAATGCATGCAACATTTCTGATCAATCTGTAGGTCATTGTGATGAGAGGGGGAACAAGCCAATCCAAAAGAGTTCATGCTTTATGATTCTATCTACACAATAGTGGGGCAAACTGTTTTCCATGCGTTAAAGATGAAACATAGGTTACAAAGGGGGAAGGTAGGTGTAGCTATATAAGGCATAGGAAGGATCTTTGTGGCAATGAAGCTGTTCTAGGACTTGACTGTGTCAAGGTCAACGTCTTGGTTATGATACTATACTACACAATTTTGCAAAGTGTTACTATTGGAGAAATTGGATAATGAGAATTCAATAACTATTTGTATTATTTCATACAGCTGCACTCTATATAAAGTCATTCTCTCAAAGGAACAAGATTAATTATAATAACTAATAATCAAAAGTCAAGTCAAAGGTTGAAGTTTCATATAATCTTTTTTTAAATATTTATTTTTAGGTGTAGTTGGGCACAATACCTTTATTTTATTCATATATTGTTATGTGGTGCTGAGGACCAAACCCAGAGTCTCGCAGGTGTAAAGCCAGACCTCTACCACCGAGCTACAACCCCAGCCCTCATATAATCTTATTTATGTTTCCTGCAGCTGACAACTAAGTAAATAGTTTCAGTCCTTCTCAAGTAAAATAAAAATATTTTCAGTGGAAAGTTTGTCCATATCTGGCTCATTCAAAATAATCTTCCCACCATATCTAATTTATATTCCAGAGCAGTTTGTGCTTGTTTGAGCTGCTGTCTCTACAATCAAACTGCTGCTCAGGGATCAAGGTTCTGTCAGTGATATACAGAATTATTAAATCCTCCAAATATTCCACGAACTTGCTCTGAGAATAAACATGCAAATTACTTTATATATCCTTAATTGTTGATCAAATCTATATACTTACTTGTTTTTTTTATCAAGATTGAGTTGTTTTTATTTTAATAAAACCTCATGAAAAAAAAACTTGATTTATATTTTCATATAGCATTTGTTTGAAGACCCTGAAGGAAAGATTGAACTACCACCATCATTGAAAATCCATTCCTGGAAAAGGCCACAAGATTTTATAATGAGTCATGTAAGAAATATTTTTATTTTTATTCTTAAACAAAATATTTATTAACTACAGGAATACAATATCCACATGATAAAAAAATGCTATATTTAAACAACTTAGAGGAATTTTTTCCTGTGGCATAGAATAAGAAGAAAAATAATTGTTTGGGGGATTTAAACTAGAAATTTAAGTTTATCAGTATAGTTTAATATGTTTTTGTGCTGATTTCTAAGAAATTACTTGAGAGACAGGAGTTTTCTACTTCTCTCCAAAATGACAGGTGATTGCTTAGATGTTATGTGAAGTATTCCTTCATTTCTGATGCACAGATTTTCTTCTTACTTTTGCGTAGCACAAACTCACATGGCATGGAGGTCTGCTTCCTGTAGTGTTAATTAGCATTAATTTTCCAGTCCAGAAGGCTTGCATTTGGATTCCTCTATTGCAGGGATTCTGTAAGCATTTTCCAAAGGCCACTTCATTTCTGGACTCCGTGCTCACCCACTTGAATCATATTGACTGGGACATCGTCTGAGAAACCTTCATTTTAAACAGCACTTAGATACTTTAAAACACACTAATCTAACTTCTTAATAGCTATGTTAGTTTGAGTGTATTTTTTTTGTTTGTTTCCAGGGGTTTAGTAATCACTAATGCGTTTTTTCCTTGTAGAATCTCATATCATTTTCATTTAATGCATAGAAAACCAGTAGATAAATTATTCTGTCCTAACCAAATGGTTGTAGTGGAGCTGATTCTGTACATTTTCAGAATCTGTTGTATCTCTGTCTCTACACAAAGCCATTTTATTCCTAAAAGTTCTAGCCTCCACTGGCAGTGATACTAATGCAATATCATTTATCTACAATACTAATTGACAAAACTGGATATATGCAAATTTTAAATAATTATTAAAACAAGAAAATAAAAAGGCACATCCTAGCTCATCAAAATGTGTTCAATGCCTTGTAAGACATTTTAAATAAAACAAGTCAAATATATACAAGGCATGCTTTTAAATCAATGTTAACATTAGATAACACTGACATGAAGAAGATAAATTCTGTGATGTCAATATAACACAGTTGATAGTGATATTAATAGTAATTAGCTGAGTTTAGTGATGCATGCCTGTAATCCCAGCGGCTTGGGAGGCTGAGGCAGAAGGATCACAAGTTCAAAGCTAGCTTCAGCAAAAAGCCTGTCTCTAAATAAAAACACAAAATAGGGTTGGGGATGTGGCTCAGTGTTTGAGTGACCCTGAGTTCAATCCCTGGTCCCCCCCAAAAAATAGTATATTAGTAATAATATTAATAATTATATAGTATATCATATAATTATTATATATTCATGGCTTACTTTTGTGAGAATTTTATAAATTCGAATACTTATAAAAATTTTGTGAAAGAGCTCTTAGTTCTGGGAGATACATTGGTAATGAAAAAAATACATTCATTGTGGATGGAACTTCTACCACTGTATCACAGTGCTTGCGCCTCTCTGTGCCTCTCTACATGGACTCCCTCTGCACGACTCATCTTGATCCATTATCTGGAATGTGGGCCAGATCAGGGAGAAATGAAAGTCTGGCTAAGTAGGAAATGTTTTAGAATAGTGGCATTCAAGCCTCATTGTCCTTATCTACAGTGATACCTACCTTTTATCTTTAATATTGATGCTCCTTAAATGTACATATATATAAAGTTGAAACAAAAATTTCACAAGGCAATAACAATCTTCTTATATAAGATATGTTCTATTTTATCCTCTCTCTCCTTCTGCAATCCTGTTCCCCTAAGCTGATTTCATGAATCACTAAATAATTGCAACCCACATTTAAAACAATACAGAACATACCACAGAACTCTCTAAGCAAAAGACAAAATCAAAGGACATGATTGAAGTCAGAAGTTATGTTACTAAGATCTTTAAATCCTGGCTTTAAGGTAACAGGGTTGACAAAGGTCATTCCAACCAAGAGAATTAATTAGTAAGCTGTGATCACAGAGTGACTGATCAGATGTGCTTATTTTTTAGCACTAGAAGTCAGTGATCCAGACCCTTGAGCACTGATCATGTTGAGCACTGTGAAACATCTTAAAGATTTCTCTCACCCCAGTACAGGTGGAGGGAATAGAGACACTGGAATGCCACTGGAGAGACCTTTGCTTAATATCTGTTATCTTTTATGATGTCAGTGCCCATTTTTATTCTGTCGGCAGGTGACTATTATGTCTAATACTTCAAAATTTAAGTATCTAATATCTTATCTGTAATCACGTTCACTGCACATTGGTACTTGCTGGAAAGCTTAGGTATTTTAGGAGCATTCCAACATAGTCAAACTACAAAAAACTGTGTTTATGATTTATGATTAGAAGAATCAATCCAGATCTTCAAAATAGATTTAGGTAAATTTTTCTCAAACATAAAAAAAAAATCATTTTTTGACTTTTTAAAGATACTAGTTGTATAAGTGATTGAAGATAAAAGATCACATTACCTTCCATAAAAATCTGATTTTATAATCAAGACCATCTGCATTTTAATTTGTAATGTTAACTATATAAGCTTTAATGTGAATTATAACTCATTTAAAATGTTATAAGCAATATTTTCCTATTTTATTGTTTTTTTAAGTTACCCCAATTAAATAATGACCATCAAATTTATTTTAAAATGTGATAGAATTTAAAGGTGGACAAGATTTTTAAAAACTTTCAGAGCTAATATTTTTCATGCAAGATGAAGATATTTTTCCAGCTACCAGATGTTAACTAAGCTTCAGGTTTTACTTGAGTGGTTAATTTAAATTTCAAATCACTTTTTAAACTCTCTCTGTGTGTATGCATGTTAAGTTTATCTGAATATATAATATATTGTAATATTTTATTTGCATATTAAAATACTCTGTTTTATCAGTGTTACATTGAATTAATGTCACTTATAGCTCTAAGGATTATCTTAGGGAATAAAGTGCTTATGTGTTTTTTCTCTTTTGTTTGAAAGAAATGAGATCAGCTTGGGCCTATTTCATTAGGTTGTGTTTCCTTTGTGTGTGTTTTTTTATGGAGTAATATCTATACATATATTTTTTATTTCAGGTTCCAGTAGTTGTGAAAAACGAAATTATGTTTGACTTGTTTTCAGCAAATGAGCATTTGCTCTGCAGCGAGGTATGTAGGGAAACATTGTCTGAAGTCTCCTTGCAGAAGACCTTTCAGGAAGTCAATTGCAAGTCTACCTTTCCCACCTTTCAGTTTTTCTATAATTGAGAATTGTATTTTTTCAACTTTTTGAAGTATACTTCAAAGTATACTTAGCTATAGCTAACAATTAAAAAATCATATGTCTTTATGGTATACAATTTGATGATTTGATATATGTATACAATATAGAACATCCATCAACAAGAAAATTAATATATCCATCATCCCACATATTGTTGTGTGTGTTGAGAACATGAAAAATCTACTATCTTATCTCACTTATTTGTTAAAGCCTTTAGTTCTCTCAGATAAATTCAATCTCTCACTTTCACACACACATACAGCTGAACAAATGTCAATGTCAAATGGAGGTCTGTTTTATTAGATATTAGTTTGTAATGTAACTGTATTTCCTAAAAAGAAAAGCAAGACTTATGATTTTATTTGGTAGGTGAAAAATCGAAATGTGGAATGACTTTTAATATCACTATTGAAGTAATTTTTTTTTTACTGTATTTCCTTCTAAATTCAGTATCTATCTTTGAAAAGTAGCCAAATAACATGAATGTTGTTTGTTCCTAGCTGATGAGGTGGATTATCAGTGAAATCTATGCAGTATGGAAGATATTCAATGGAGGGATTTTGAGCAATTATTTTAAAGGAACTCCAGGGGAACCTCCTCTTCTCCTCTGGAAACCCTGGGAACATATCTATTCCCTATGCAAGGCTGTGAAGGGTCATATGCCTTTGTTCAATAGCTATGGAAAGTATGTTGTGAAACTTTACTGGATGGTAAGTTCAAGTTCATGTGCATTAAAATTTATGACGCTTTTATGTTGAAATATAAGGTTGGGAAAAAATATTTAGTCCACTTTGGAAATCTCAGTCTGATCCAGTCATTTAGCCCACCTCTTTAGGTCTGTCTCAGCTCTACAGGGCTAGGACTGCAGCAGTCAGACTAAATCAGGTGTCTTCCTGGTCCCTCATTAGACATCTCCCCTTCACTATTCTTCACCTTCTTGATGCTTTCCTACCTTTTTACTTTTTTCTTCTTGGGGATAGATTTTCCTTGCTTGTCTTGTTACAGAATTTCTTCTTCCCCTTTCCTGTGTTCTCCTGAAGTGTTTGCCTTTATGTCTTCATTGGGGTAAAGTAACCTTGCAGGGCCTCTCTTCATGACATTCAAAATTCTGACTTTCACACCAGAATGTCATTTTTCCATAAAAGAATTCCATTATTTCCAATCTGGATTCTAAGAAAATTACAAAAAGTTCTTTGACATCAGCCAGATAAAAATTGTATTGAGCAGCCGTAGGAACAGGGTCATAAAAGAGAGATCAGTTTCCTCTCTTCTTCCACTGTCATTGATAATGATGTGGAGGGCACATAGCATCGTACCAGTTGCTTTCCTAGTGAGCATGAGCATCTTTTGGTTCCCTGAAGCCCTTTCCTCTCTACTTGGAAGGAAGACCAATTGCTGTCGGTGGCTTTTCTCTGAACTTCTCTATGCTTTCATTTGTCTCTGATAAACAGGAAAAAAGACACATTGACATAATTTTTCTCAGTTGCTATCAATATGTTCATATGAAAATGGGTTAGCTCTTATTTCTCATTGACCCTTATGCTAAGCACAATATAGTTGTAGAATTCAAGGATCCTTAAACTGGGGATACAAAAATCTCTCAGCACCTACAGTACTTCTGGTGCTTCATAAACTCCTGCCTCCCATGTCTCACCTCTGACCTCCCAAGTCCCTCTGGTGGAACAACCTGAATGCTGCTCTTTAAATCAACTCTCAGTGACATTGGTGTTTATTAAATTTGAGGAACAGTGTTTTCAAGGTAGGACAAATTATTTTTCTATCAATTACTATCTTTCAAAAAGAAAATGCTATATTAATGTTTAATTATTATGATTATACATGCTTTTAGTAAAGCAAATTCAAAAACTATTAACATGTTCAAGGCAGGAAAAGAGAGTTCCCTGTAATTTTATCCTACTCAGACAATCAGTCAACAATTTCACCTAAACCCTCCTGAGCTTTCCTCTATTCTTATAAACTTACATAAATGTATTATATGTAATTTATAGCAGTAAGTTCATACAATACTTATTGTTCTGTAAACGATTCTTTTTTCTAGCCATGGGCATTTCTATGCTGATATATTCTGATGTATATTGTAATCGACTCTATGGATATATAAATAAGTAAATGCATTTTGCTACATTAATATAATTGATAGGTTATAATCAGTGTTTTACCAATACAAACAAGGCTCTAAAAGAGCATTTTTATGTATATATGTTTTGCCCATTTATATGGATTTTTTTTCTAGGATTCGTACATGTGGAATTATTTTGTTAAGAAAATGCAAATTGTTAATTTTGATAAGTATACTCAAGTTACTCTTGTATTTTATTTATAGATCGTGATATGTCTACCACTTTATTATCTGCTTATGACTTTTCTTATTTTTAAATTTGCACTTTTGGATTCTTTAGCCATTTTTGAATCCTCCAACCCAATTCTTGAATGTTCTTTAGGATTCCTTTTTGAATTACCTATATAATCATAGTGCTTTCAGCGTATCTCTTTGCACGTTGTTTTCCAGTGGTTCCCTAGGAATTAAAAAAATATATATGTATAGCTTATGACATTCAACTAATATTAACATTTTTTATTAGCTGCTCAAGACAATACAATGATCTTGACATATCATACTAATATTAACATTTTACTACATAAATTGGAATGTAGATACTTTACCACAATTTTTGGCCCCTCTACACAGTTCCCTTCTGGTCTAGTTTTCTTAAATATGTCATTTATATGCATATTTAAATTAAATCTGCACAATTTAATTTGTTATACTTTAAGGAAGCAATGTGTAATATCAGTAGATCAAAAATATTACCATGAAAATATCTATAGGTCTAGTAAATCATACTTTAAAAATATGTTAATGCTAAATATCTATTCCTGTGCTTTTTAAAAATAGATTTCTTGAGAGACAATTCACATGCTGTATACTTTATTCATTTAAATGCACTGTTCAGTAGTGTTTAATAATAAAAGCATTCTTAACAGAAAAATGTTACCTTTTATCATCTGTGAGCAGGTGTTCTTTGTTGAATTGATCTAGATTAATATCTCATAGTTGCTTAAAACTTTTCCTTTATAGGAATCCTGAACCCTTTAAAAAATTGTCTTTAAAATTGAAGTGTAGGAAGGGAACACCAATTGCTGCTTTTTTATTGTGGTAAAATAAACATAATGTAAAATTTAATATTCTAATCATTTAAGTGAACCATTCAGCGGCATTAAGTATTTTTAACTGTTGTGCAACCATCACCACTACCTATTTCTAGAAATTGCATCATCCAAAGCAGAAATTCTCTACTCATTACAAATAATGTTCCATTCTTCTCCCCTGTCCTAGCCACTAGCAACCTCTTACTATCTGCATAAATTTGCCTTTTCTAGTTGCCTTAAATAGGTGTCAATCACATAGTGTCCTCTTGCATCTTGCTTATTTATCTGTAAATTCTTATTGGTCAGTTCATTTGAAATTAGAAGGCAGGTGTCATACCCCTGCCTTTGATCCTGGCTAACTCTACATAATTTCTTAAGGAAGAATGTAAAAGAGATAGAACCACTAAATAAAGCAACATGAAATTCAAGATGGTGAGTGTTGTATGTTTTAGAATTTTTTTAATCATATTGTTCACATGTACCTGAGAAAACCATGCTTTCATGAATCTTTATTCTAGTCTCACTTCATTTTCCATACTTCCAAATGTTGCACTTCTCTTTCTGTCCCACAATACTTTGAACATATGATATTCTGTGTTGTTGGCATACGTGCACTCCCCACTAGATTGTAAGTAATTAATGGTAATAGACCATGTGTTATGTGTATTTTGGAAATTTTAATGGTTGACACAACTGGGCAAAATATTTTGAGGAATAAGTTCATAATAAAAGTTAGCACATGAAACTAAAATTAAAAAAAAAAACTCTAAAAGTTCAAAATAATTAATGTTATCATTTTGTTTAGAAAGTAATATGCATATAGGCAAATATACACTGATTTCATTAAATGAGATAAGAATTTACTTCATGATAAAATATTAGCCTTTTAAAATTTCGAGTAGGTATAACATGGGAATTAAAGTATAAGATCAATGAGCACATATCAGAATAAGCTATAATTATTAAAGTTATATTTGAGGAATTTACATTATGACAATATAAAGTAAATTAATTATGCCTAAACTAATCCCTGGTTGTATAATGTTTTGGTTTTGCTGTTTGAAACATTTTAAATTACTGCACTATGTGTTCACAAGCTCTCATAAATAAGGACAATATTAATATGGATGTGCTATAATTAAATAAATCATAAGCTAAAATGCCCCACCAATATATTACTAAAAAACAGTATCTCAGTCTTTGAATGTGAGATGCTGACATAAATTTATACAACAGTAAGTAACAATGTCAGCAGTGTGTGATAATATGTGAGAAAAATAATATAAATCACTGATAGTGTTGCATTCTTTCCTTCTTTATTTTAGGGTTGCTGGAGAAAGATAACTATTGATGACATCATGCCTTTTGATGAAGATAACAATCTATTGCTTCCAGTTTCAACCTGTGAATTTGAACTCTGGCCAATGCTGTTGTCTAAAGCCATAATCAAGCTGGCAAATGTTGAGTATGTAGTGAGAAATTATTCATCATTTATATAAAAACAAAAAGGCACACAAGAGCAACTGTACATCCGTATTGAGTTGCTTTAGTTTTTAAAAAGGATTTCCTTCCCAACAGTGTGAACGTTCATGTATAAAAGCTAATGTGCCAAAGTCACTGATTTGAAGTTTTGGGTAGCCAGCTATCACACAAAACTCCCTCAAGAAAAATACTGGAAATTATTTGATTCCAGACTCTCTTACTATAAATGGAAAATAGATCGCGAAAAATAGAGTTTCCGTTTAATGGGAGAAAGAAATTGTTTTGTAGGGGGAAATATTAGTTCATCTAAATACTGAATAATATATACTGGGATTTGGTTAAAGTTATAAGTTCTGTACATGCAGCAACATCTTATGCAACTTGAAAAATCTGGACTTTTCAGAATGATATCAATGTGCTCCTTGTGCTTTGGTAACATTGGCCCCTTTTAAAATGTTCATGATAAGAACTACTCATATTTGCTTCAATATGCTTACAAATCAGCTTGTGTCTTCTATGCCAATATGACTTGAGTACCCAACGTATCATGAGGCATGTCTGCTGTAGTCAATAGACAAGCAATCATTCTCTCCTGGTGCTAGCAATACAACTCACAGTGCAAAAATCAAGAAAATAAAAAATAAAAAGTAAAGAACATAGGAGCTTGAACTGGTAATGCATGGCGACTTTTTACCACTGCTCAGTGGGAGAATCCTCACACGAACTGCACAAGCCTGGATCTCATACCCTACTGCAGCGTGTCATAGCAACTCAGAATTCAATAGAAGACACCCACATATTTTACAGACCCTGTCAGTTATTTGCTTGAAGCACAGCCCCCTCCCTTTCAGTAATAAACATAGCAGTGTCAGTCAGAAGCCAGGTCTGCTTTGTGTGGATTTTCTTTTGGCTCAGCTTCTTTTTTGTCTCCTGAGGCTACAAAACAAAAACAGTTCTTCCTGCTGCCACCCTCTCCATCTCTCTTTTCTCTTACTAACCCTCAATTTTCTCTTAAGAATTTGTTTTACCCAGCACTCAGCCCTAATTTCAATGATTTTTTTAAATGATAGATGAAAACTAACTGAGGATTCTTACTGGTGGAAACTATGTTTACTTGACAATAATCATTAAGGATGATGATGTTCCCAATGGTTCTAATTCTCAGACCTCACTTGAAGTTCTGAGAATTGGAACGGCAAGACCAGAAGGCGTGAAGTACACAATCTGGGTAACTAGAGTGGCATTTTGTCTTTCTTAAAGCAATAGTTCAGTAGCATGTAATAGGAATGTGAGTAACACGGTTATTATTACTTAAATAAAATGAACAAATCCAACTTGAAAATAAAGGACCAAGCTAAGTGGAATACATTTTGTTGATTTCTAGTGGAAACCTGCCCTACATGGTACAATTTATATTTTTCTATAAATTCTTAGGTTTTTTTATGCTATATAGAGATTATTTTCATATGAGGTTTAGCTTTCTACATTGAAAAATCTAATCATAATAGTTATTTAAATATCCATGTGAAACATGTAAAGAAAAGAGCATTATTTCTATAAGGTTTGCAGTTGATTCATAAATAAAATCATACAAAAAGGAGTTCAGACTAGACTTTGTGAAATTTATCAACAGGTGTGTGTGTGTGTGTGTGTGTGTGTGTGTGTGTGTGTGTGACCACAGTGGCATTTTGTCTTTCTCAAAGATTTTGTGTGTATATAATATATATGACTACAGTGGTATTTTCTCTTTCTCAATGATTTTATTATATATATATATATATATATATATATATATATATATATATATTATGTGTATCTATATACATAAAATCATTTGAGATATGTAGACATATAGCAATTCATAATCCATATACAACAAACCAATGGAAATCTATAAATACTGCTAAATACGAATGAGACAGGATTCCTTTCTGAAGAAAAGGACACAGATGTTGGTGAGTGCCATTGCCACCACTATTGATGTTTAGTGGACTGTGGCTGTGAGTCCTGAGTGGAATGGAGGAATGGCATTTCTGTTTATGAATGTAAATAGTATGAACACCTCAAAAATATATATGAATAAAGAGAGCAAATGAGAAGAGTGTTATTTGGTTAAACACTACTGACTTTATGTTACACTGGCAGGTCCACTCTTCTTTATAGGGTGAACCAGATGTCTGGTTTCTCTGCAGTTATATAAGGAATTCATTAAGAACTTCTGATGCCCATTTTGGCCTACCATGGATGAGACTGACTTAACACACACTCTCATAGGCCACTTAAAATACTTATTGAATTGAAACAATGAAAATCACTGCTGTAGTCTCAAAAGAACAATATAATCATATATTAAAAATATGGAATGAGTTATGCATTTTTTATGTTATATATTTCATAAGATAAAAGTTTTATGTATATGGCATTAATATTAATTTTAGATCTTTTTAAAATACAGCTTATATGCATGTTTTTCACATATATTTTGAACTTTACCATTGGGGCATACTTAGGGTTTTAATGAATCATCTAACTGATGAGACAATATTTTCTTGTACTATAATGTATAACCATTATGACCCCCTTATGTTGATTATTATGCTGCTGTTTATTAGTGATTCTAGTTCTTATATATTCCTCTGTGTTCCAAATTTTGGTAAGTATTGCATGATGTGTTTTCTCTTTTAGCATTCACATAGCACAGAGGCGAGAACTGGGAGAGTTCACAGTTATTCATGCGCTCACAGGGTGGTTACCGGAAGTCATTTCTCTTCAGTAAGTTTGACTATTTAGTCGCTCATATCTATTTTTTCTTTTTTTTTTTTTTTAATTTTTTAAACATTTATTTCTTTTAGTTATTGGCGGACACAACATCTTTGTATGTGGTGCTGAGGATCGAACCTGGGCCGCACGCATGCCAGGCGAGCGCGCTACCGCTTGAGCCACATCCCCAGCCCTCTATTTTTTCTTTCTTCCCAAGATGTATTTAAAATATTCTTAATCATTAAAAAAATTCAAGAAAGTTTCTGTTTTACATATGTGAGAATAACATTTACAATGTTATATAAAACTCATTGGGTATTTCAGGGTAAATTCTACTTCATTGTATAGAAGAATAACCCCCTACAGATTCTTAGTTGAAACTGACCCCTATAACAAAAGACACATCAATAATATAGTAATAATAATAAACCTAGAAGTTTACTAAGAATGGATGTGTCACATATAAATGGGAAAAACAAAGAATTAGCAGTTTTAAAAGAGGTGGTTTTGGGGCTGGGGTTATGGCTCAGAGGTAGATCGCTCACCTGGCATGCGTGAAGCACTGGGTTTGATCCTCAGCACCACATAAATATAAAATGTGTCCACCTATAACTAAAAAATAAATATTTAAAAAAGAGGTTTTTTTGAATTTCAGTGCATCCGTATCATCAGTAAAGAACAGTAAATTTTTAGAGAAATGATATGAAAAATGAAAGACTTTCAGTCTCCACAGTGGTAACCTGTGAACGGCAAATAAAAGTTGGGACGGACATAATGGTTGTTAACATAGATTCTTCTGACACCATCTTCAGGAAGATGAAGTTTACTGTTACCTTTAGGGGCTAACTTATATTCTTTCTGGTAGACAAGTGAGTAAGGAGTTAGGATACTTTCTGTCTTTGCAAATTTAAGTTCTGCTTTTAGGAAAATAGAAGGAAGACAGAGCACTTGCCTGTTATCTGCTGCTTTTTAGTTGTGTTTGTCTTCGGTTGACCCTCCTTGATGGATAATTTTCCTGAAAGAAAGTTGATCTTTCTTTGTATCTTAGGGAGAAGTAAAAAATGGCACCTTTTCAAATCCCTTTTCTGATATCCAAAAGATTTTCTGATGTAGTGTGGACAACGTTAGTGAAAGAAGTAGAAGGGGAATGAAATTGAAAGACTATGAACTGATCTAAAATTTTAATTCTAGTGTTGATGGAATGCTAAGAGTAAGATTGTAGGTGAATATTAAAGGCATTCATATACTTTCATAATATAAAGATACCACATGAATTATAATTGTTGACAAAATGTCTATGAAAGTGACATAAAAGGGAAAAAAAACATGAGCTTTGGTGTTAGAACAGTATACTGAGAGTTAACTTCTTATACTTCCACTTTCAAGCTATGAGAATCTTGCAAGTAATATAAATTCTCAGAGACCAGTTTCCTCATCTGTAAAATGGGAGATAATATGATGTACTCTGGATGGTGTACTGAGATTTAATAGGTGAAAGAAAAGGCATCTACTCAGAAAAAAGTAGTTAGATTATGGTATAAACATAATTATTCAAAATGCCTTTGCCATCTCTAATGACTTTCATTATATTGTTTAATATTATCTAGAAAGATGCTTGGTAGTTAATAATCAACCTTTGGAAACATGTTGAATAAATGAGAATAAGAGCAAGTGAAGAATAAGTGAGACTCACCCAGACCATTAATTCTACCTTACAATTATACCGTAACCTTAAAAAGTTATATATATATATATATATATATATATATATATATATATATATATATA